GAGTCCATATGTATAGCTAAAGGCTACATAACAAGAAACAATGCTAGACAGGTGATACCTTCCTTTGAGTTATTGGCCAAGGTGGTGCAAGAGACTCCCAGACAGTAACCCAGTATAGAACTGGGAAAATGAACAGCAGATGCCAATCTTAGCTAAAGGAATATTGACAACTGATTGCTTCTAGATGAGAACAGTTGATCTTCCTAAAACAAGGATCTCAAGATAGGCTGACTAGATCCACCAGATGGACAAGTAGCAGGGAATGGCTGGGGTGCCGACAACACAGCAGACAGTATCAGGGATATCAGAGTATAAGGGCTCTAGTGGGGGGAGGGAGGCTGTGGGAGGGTACCATCTCAGAAGTGAGTGTATAGTTGAATAAGATGGTTTGGGATATTCTCTGTGATACATACACACACATACAAAATCAACAAATTTTTAAAAATGTATTATATTTGAGGAGGAAGCATGGAAATTTACATCATGTTAATTGGTAGAGGTGATAAACATTACCACTGAAATCTACCCAATGACTTTATAGACATACACAGGCACCAAGGATCCAAGTGCAACCGATTATGACTAGTAATAATCAGATACATACAGATGAGAGATGCATGTGCCAACATCTCAGTGTTAGTAGCAAAAACAATGAGTCTTTCTGCAAGGAACAATATATTCTAAAATGAAATGGAGATCTTTTTTAGAGGTCAAAAACTCATCAATTTTATGTCTTACAGGGCTTATACTGAGTTCGATATTGTATAACTGTATTAATTCAACTGTGAACCTAGACACTTGCACCCACTTGTGAATGAAATGTACTCTTGCTCTGGAGTGTGTTACTGAATATGTTAAAGCTGTAATGAAACACTAAAAAAAATAAATAAGGTGGAGAACAGCTTACGAAGACACCTGACATCGTCTGACCTCTGGCTTCTATGCACACTTACACACACACACAGACACACACAGACACACACACACACACACACACACACACACGGGAGGAGGGCATAAAAGAAAGACAGCACCTGCCAGCACCAAGAGCAACAATGAACCCCAAGGAGAGCCATTTGAGAGAAAACTTAGGTTTTCTCCTAAGTCAGTCATCTGACTTCTAGAAGGGAAAAGATGACCAAAATGGGGTGTTTCTGAAGCAGTTGAAGGGTTCATGCAGAGCTACGCAGACTCACTCATTTTTCATTGTTCCCTCAGGCACGGATGAGTTGTGGGCTGAGTAGTTCAGGACCCCTGTCTCAACAGCTGGGAATGGACTCAGAAATTTTGTACTTGTGCTTTTGCTACTCCTTGGTCCCCTGTCCCTGTCCTATGCCTGCCACAAAGAGCTAAGCAGTAAGAAAAACTACTAAGACTTTAGACCTGCAGTCTTCTGAGCAAGTATGAGATTTATTCAGCAGTGTGTTGTTCAATTAATTAACTCTGTATATCAGGCTGAAGGAAAGTATATTTTATATTTAAAATCTGAAGATTTAAACTAATAAAATACATCTCAAAATATTTTCTTTCACATTTTTTAAAGTGCTGAGGATGGAGTCTAAGTAGACTAAGTAGAGTGCTAAGTAAGCACTCTACCACTGAGCTATATCCCCATCTCTTGCAATATCCGATGCTAAATTTTACTTGCACTTTTCCTAGGCCAATCCCCCACCCCACTGCGAGTCTACACAGAATATAGGTATCCAAACCAATATTGTGGTTCAGACAAATATGTACATAGACTCATTGGAGTATAACAAGCCACGTATTTTTTAATGCATGAGAAGGATGGAAACAAAGCCCACCATTCAAGAGAGGTAAGAGCACAATGCCTTAGAAAACAGAAGAAGCATCAGGGAATCACTGAAGCCAAGAAATGACCCACAATTTGCCAAAAGTCAAAAGTTCAACAAGCAACTCTTTTATGTGACTGGAGGATTAGCTCATCTCTGTGGCTTGCTCTGTGCAGAAGTCGAGGGTATTTTGGCAAGAAAAGTGGTAACACGTCCTTGCCTTTTCCCATCAGGCTCTGACAGAACTCGGCAGCCACAGCGTCCAGCTCAGTTTCTGTGACCTCCTCTCTCTGAGACAAGAACGAGTCTTTGTCAGTTCCGAGGCCCTCCCTACCCAGCTGCAACGCAGGGGTAACCATGCTCAGTCATCCATAGATTCTTCGGGAGGTTGTGACTACCAACAAAGAAGGAGTCTGAAAAAGATTGAAGGGGCAAACCATTTTATAAGAGGAAAATGGAATGCGGACCAAGACCTGGCAGAAACTAGAGCCCAACAATCACAAGGACACTGGCCTTTCATTGGACTCCTACAATAATTGAGTCTACCGTGTGTTCAGTGTGTCACACTTAATGCCCGTTGATGTACAGGCATTATTTCCAGTTTTACAGATTAGGAGAATAAGGTCACAATTCTGGAAAAACGGAGCAGGGGTTTAAGTCCGAATCTGAGGCACAAACCTCACACACAAAGTCGTGCTCTAAAGCAGAAAGCTGGGACGCACAGGTGGGTGTAAGGATGCGACCCAGCCACCTTTCTCTGCTGATTCTCAAGAGCATTTTCATATTAGAAGAGTCCAGGCCAGTCTCTGCCACAGAAGGTCAATGATTTTCCCCTGGGAGGAAGTGCCCATGTTTGTGGGTATGATTCAAGCCAAGATTCTAGTTTCAAAGACTGTTACATGGAGGAGATTTCCAGGATACCCTGGGGACCGTTTATATAAGTCCGTAGCTTCTCCTCCCATCCCATTTAGACATCTACTCTCCATGCGCTAGAGAAGATGAAACCAGGGCTACGGGCGGCTGAGCGCTGTGGTTCAGGAACCGCTCTTTTTACTTGTTTAGCTTTGGTTGTTGGTGGTGGTTTTCTTTGTTTTGGTTTTCAGACATGGTTTTGATGTGCAATCCTCAAGCTCACTGTATAGCCAGCTTTTCTCCTGTGTCCTTTACCATTCGCTGCCTTAGCTTCCAGAAGCTTCTCATGCCCGCTTCTCTGAAGCCTGACTTCTATGACTATGTCTTCTGCTTCCCTCCGTGGACTTTCCTTCCATTTGCTGCTAACCTTGAACATTTTCTGAGGCTGTGTGGGTGCCCTAATCTCCCTTCAAAGTCAGATCTCATCTAAGGACACCATTTCTAAATCAAGGTGTTCACACCGCTGATCTTTCTTCCCATTTCCTCCCCACTTTTCCTTCTAGGCAGTGTCTTGCTACGTGGTCCAGGATGACCTTGAACTCCCGGTTCTCCTCCTTTACTCTTCCTTTTACACACTAGTTCAGTTTATGGCTCTGACTTCCCAGGATATAACCTTGAATTAACTCTAAAACTTATTTAACTATATTGTATAGTCTTTATTTTTAACTTTGTATTACTGTATTTAAATATATTTTATTTGCATATGTGTGTTTTTGTATGTGTGTGTGTACACACGTGTGCATGCCATGGTATGTGTATGGCGGTCAGAAGTCAACTTCTGGGAGTCAGTTTGTGCTTTCCACCTCTTTGGGGCAGGGTTTCCCTTGTTTCTGCTACTGTACTGTGAACTCCCGTCTACCTGGTCTGTGAGCTTCTGGTCAGTTCTCCCTTCTCTGCCTCCCATCTCACCTCACAGATGCTGGGATTACAAATGTGTGCTCTGTATCTAGTTTTTTATGAGGATTTGGGAGCATGAACTTGGGTCACTGGGCTTGCATGGCTAATGCTCTTAACTACTGAACCATGTCCCTGATTTCTTTAATTAACTAACCTATTTGTTTATTTATTTATTTATTTATTTATTTATTTATTTATTTATTGTTTTATGAGACAAGGTGTAGGAGGAAGCGCGGCCTGAACAACCAGTGTGCGCTGCAAACGCACCAAAAACATCGTCTGAGGCAAACCTGTGTTCTGCCAAAAGACATAGAGACGGTTGATGCGAAAATGGCCCAATACAGAGAGCCAATGAGGAACAGACACGACCTATCAATGGACCAATGGGACACTTGAGGGGGGATATAAGGGAGCCCCATATCTGCAGTTAATGAGTCTGCAGCTGCTGGCACTGCCTGCTTCTCACCTGACTCCCGGAGTCTGCATCGTGGCTCCTCGCTGACTCTACCCCTGCCCGGAGGGCCCCAGGACATCCACAACAACAAGGTTTCTTGTTTTTAGAATATCTTTTATTTATTATTTAACAATATCATACATCTAAACAGTGTGTCTTGAGTATATGCCCCAACTCCTCCCTCACACTCCCCCAAGGCACCCTTAACACATCCCTCTCTTTCATGTCCCCTACTTTTTCATTTAATTTCATGTGCATGTGCTGTGCAGCCTGTTGGAATGCAGACTGACCTCGATGTCTGGATTTTGTTCAGGTTCCCAGGGCTGCAGTGAGTAGACAAGTTTTCACAGCTGACGTGAACTCAGTGTAGCTGAGGCTGACCTTCAACTCCTGCCTCCTTTGCTCCTAGGGGCTGGAATTACAGACACACACCACCACACCTGGCTTGTATTATTTATTTCGTTGTTTATTGGGGAGTTGTTTTTGGTTTTTTGATGCACGTTTTCCATATGTAGCCCAGGCTGGCCTCAAACTTGTGACAATCCTCCTGCCTTGGCCTCCTGAGTTCTGGGATTACAGGGGTGTACCACCATGCCAAGCTTTATTTTCTGTACTTTTATATTCTTACACCTGGGACCTCAGTGACTTACCAAGCTTAGCTAACTCTTAGCAAGAGAACAGAAATCGCTTAGGAACATACCTTTCCTATGTAAGCCGTTCGTTGCTGTTTGAATATGAAATGTCCCCCAACAGATTCCAGTGCTAAATGTGTGCTTCCCAACTGGTAATGCTGTCTTAGGGGGTGGTGGAAACTTTCAGATGTGGGCCCTAGCTGGACGAAATAGGTAAATGGGAGCTTGTCTTTGAAGGCTATACCTGTCCCTCTGTCCCTATCTCACTTTGCACTCTGCTGCCAGGAAGTGAAGGAGCAACTCCCCACGGCTCCCACTGCCAGCATTCTGTCCAAGAGCACAGGAGCAACCAACCGCAGACTGAATCCTCAGAAGTGTGAACAAAGTCTTGCCTTCCTTAAGTTGTCAAGTATCTGGTCGACGTGACAGGAAAAGTAACCGCTATACCAACCACCATGAACTCAGGGCCTCTCCATTTCCCCTACCTAGTTCTTAATCTCCAAGAGGAGTACTGTGTGCCCCTGCGTCCCTGCGTGTACCAGATACCCAGCGATCACTGGACACCCTTGCAACCCAAAGTACTGAAATGATCCAGTCCTAGACCTGCTCAGTGGCTCCCCTTGCTTTGCCCACTCCTTCTAGTGATGGAAGCCTTTGGCAGTCCTTACCCTCTGCCCCTTTGCTAGCCTGAGCTTCCTCGGGAGCCCTGTGTGGTGATGCATGCACCATCCCTGCAGAACCCTGAGAAGAAACTGCGTTTCCAGTGGAAATTGTCTCCTGATCTGATGCTGTCCCCATACCTCACCAAAACAAAAGCAAAAATCCTACAGATATTTTAAAGCAAACCTATCCTCCTGCAAGTACCAAAAGATTGTCTGCAGTCATTGGTATTTTAATATAGCCGGCTTGTAGTGGCTGTTGTACTCTAAAACTATGTTTTGTTCTTTTACTTGAATGGTTTGCTTTTTCTTTGTTTTGTTTGTTTTCTTTGTGGTGCAGACTATGAAACCCAGAGCTTCCCATAGGCAGAACAAGGACTTTAGCACTGAACTACATCTCAAGCCTTCTTAAATTATTTTGTTATGAACTAATGACTGATAATTCACTGACATTCTTTGGGAAAACAGTATTAGTGAGAACAGGTGTGGCCCTTGCTTTCTATTGACTTAACAGAATGTTTTGTCTTTCAACTTAATTAAATACATCTGATAAGTATTTGGCCTGAAAGAAGTTGGAAACTATTTGGTTGCCTTAAAGCTTCAAATGAAAAAAAAAATTTGTTAGCCTCATCAAGACAGTAATTTTTATTATGAAATGAAATGAAGTTGAAGCCAGAATCAAGCAGAGCTATAGTGCTGATGTATTCTGAAGGAAGAGGGCAGGGTTATGAGGAGCAGCCCAATGACATGGAGGAACTGTGATCAGGTCATCGAATAGAATTCAGAGGTGCCACTTTTTCCTAATACTGTCCACGAGAGAACACAACAAGCTTTGCGTTGTATTTGGAGAAAGTCAGACTACTGAAAACTAACATCAATCTTACAGGATTAGAGGGATGCATCTACCCTTTCATTCATTATGACTTCCTAAGGAATCTTTTTAGATAGAATTTTTCTAATGCCCTCCCCCACAATGTACCACTCATGGCACAAAATTTTGACAAATCATTAAGGTTTTCTACCCCAAAACCAATTTTCCTGGCCTTGGGGACACCCACACTCATTGGTAGTACCTATGTAGGGTTATTAATGGCCCGTGACCCTGGCTGAATTACCTGGAAACTTCTAAGTAACAAAGTCTTGGAATTTTTTGCACTGTTTGTCTAAGGTGAGACTCTGGTTTGCTAATTTAAAACTCTTTGGTTGGTCAGGTAAAGAAAGATCCTTTACTTCTGGACAGGGGAAATGCAGCATGTTCTTAATACTTCCAGGCCTCCATCAAGCTAACTTAGTAACATGAAGTGGTGTTCGTTGTTTAACAGCAGGTATCTGTCCAGTTCTCTCACATTTGGGTATTTACATGGACTTCTCATGTACAGTTAGGAGACGGATGTGGTACAGGTAATATTTCTGGACTAAAAAGAGAAAGTAGGCAAAGGGATTCTAGGGACACAATGTTTGAAAAGCACTTTGGGGTGTTGGGTCCAGGAAGGAGAAGTGCCTGGGGTTTAAACGTGCTCTGCTCTCAGAAGGACCAGCTGTGGATTCACACTAGCTCTCAAAGTGGAGCCTCTGGGCATGGCACCACTGTCGCCTCAGGACCTGTTAGAAGTGTAAATTATTCTCCTCCTGAACTTGACTCAGAGATGCAGGGGCAGAGGCAGTCAGCAAGTCCATCCCAGGGAGGGGAGTAAGAATCAGTCATAAGCACAGGTTTAAGAACCTGCGGCCCAACTGTTTCTATTCTTCCTTAAGAACATTTATTGCATATTATTGGCAAGTATAACTCAGTATGACTTGGCTAACTGGCTCTTCCTTCTGTCCTTAAGAACCAAGATATTAACAGCCTAGATCTTATTAATGCAGTTAACAAGCTTTAAAATCCCATCTTTTTAACCACTATCCCAATTCTTAACGAGACAGAGTTTAGCACTATGTGTTTTAAATCTCTTATTACACAAATTCTATAAGAGGAAGAGATT